CACAACATACGGTCACCGCGCCATTTCTCTCACATGATCTTGTGGTCAGGTCGTGAAAGATCGGTTTTCGGTTGAAAAGTGATCACACGGAGCCTTTCTACCATGTCTGACGCCCGGTGTCCGTTACCTGCATTGCTTTTGATAAATTGTCGGTGCAGCCGCCCTGCGTATTTGACCACTCCCGTCGTAATAACAAGGGGGACGCACATCTTCAATCTCAGGTATTTTTTCATACATTTTACTATTATTATTATACCTCCTAAAATCAACAAAGGGGGGAGGAAAAGAGAGGTAAAAAAAAAAACAGTATGAGGAAGTTCATCTAAAGGGATCAGTAGAGAGGTCCACTGAGGTCAAGATAAAGGTGAAACTGAGGAATCCGTTAACGACACCGTAGTACATTTCTTTGACGACCGCCCTTATTTCTACGATAAATCACACGAAAAATGGACAAACAAAGAATATAGAGGCGTTTAGGCGTTTGATGAGAGCATCGGATGGTCCTGTAAGCATTTCTTTAAACTTAATTTGTAAGTTTGATTTAAAAGTGAATATAGATATTTATGTTGTTTTCTATCCATTTATCATTTTTTTCTTGATATCAATATTGCAGCATGCATTCCTTAAATTTTTGACTACTCACGATTGATATGATCCATGATAAATGTTATTTGTAAAATCTTGGTAAATGTCTTAGTGAACCACCGCCTAAACGTAAACGTGACCAGAAAGCTGCCCCCAGTAAAAAGAACCCAACGAAACAAAGTCAATGTTGTGAAAGAAGTAAGTTTAAATTCAATATCACATTGTGGCTGTTTATTTGTTATAGGCTATAACTTTTCAAGGTACTATTGCTTTCAGAAAGCAGAAGATAAATGTAGCTGACATAACATTCATTATGTTTCTATCATTACAGGCACCAGTTATAATCGGCTGCTTCAAAGAAAGTGCACGGACATCCCCTCCTGTCCGCAAATCAGTTGGAATTCAAACCGAGACGGATAATTATTCTCAACTGGAGGAGCTGGTGAGAGAATTACAATCCCAAATGAAAGATGGTTTTCTTTATTTAGAAAACCTGATTAAAGCACAGTCATCCCCCAGTTATCCAGCATCTCCACCCGTCACCCATACGAGTCACTGGGAGACCCTATGGAAAACCTGACTGCACCATCGTCAGTTACCAGTAAATCTACACCTATGCCATCCGCAACCTCTCCAGTCAGGACGCCTTTCCCCAGTCCCTGTGTCACTTCGCTGCCGCTACCATTACCACACCCTTCTTCGACACCGCCGCCGCCGCCTCCATTTCCAAGTCCATGTGTGACACCACCGCCTCCTCCTCCTTTCCCAAGCCTCTGTGCGACACCCTTACCGTTGAGGTCTACATGTACAACTTTACCGCCGGTCACGTACTCACTTCCTACTTTGTGTCCAACAGAATCAAGGAATCAGTCTTTTGGCCGGCCACCCGTCGCCTTGTCAAATAAAGAAATATTTGAAATTCGACAACGGGCCAGTTCCCCAGGCAACTTTTGCGTTCAGTTAATGGGAAGATTGTTTACGATTGATGAACGAATACAAAAGGACAGAAATGTTACAGGTGTAGATGGGATAGATCCTATATGCAAATATATACTGAACTATATTAAAGATATGGCCTACAAAATGTTTATCACTCAAACAACTGACAAGTCTTTTTGGAAAAAATGCATTTCATCCATAAACAAAGCTAATAGAAATATAAGGTCATACTATAAAAATAATTTTCAATCTTGTTAATAATATGTATATAGCAAAGACGGTTTGAAGCCTAATAAATATTACATTTACAAGTACGAGTAGTGTTTTATTTGATCTTTTATAAATTCATAAATTCATTTATTAATTCATAGCTACAATGTACATGAAAGTTGCTTTCATTACCGAATCTTTTTGGTAAAGTGACTTTTAAAAATCACTGTTGGCAAGTTCTTATACTTAAAATCTCCGTATCAGAGTAGAGTGGTCAAAGTAGAGTGAAGCCACCGCGCATTAAATGTCAATTAACGCTTGGACGCACACTTAATTGCGACCACGCTCAGCTTTGATCTTTATCTCAGCGAGCTAGGGTTACCCTGTATGCTCTTTTGTTAGCAGAAAATATGTCACGATAATTACCCGACGGGGCAGGGCATGGTACTATTGTTAACAGAAACCAAACAGCGTATGGATAACAATGTTATTTCCATAGTTACCGAGCCAGGCCGTCTGAACAACCCGCAGCGACCCGCAGGGTAGGTAAGGGGAATTTCCGGCGGCACTGTATATTTTACATTTAATAATGAATTGATTAATTTAAGTAAGCACAAATATTATATCATTGCTGTCTGTGTTTGTTTTGCAGTTGCAAATATTTAACGTAAATGAAAAAAATTGACAGAGGACAGATTTTGGAAAACTAAAACGATGTGAAGGAAAAAGTGGACAAAATGCCCTAAAAACAAGCCTGTAAATTTGGAAGCTCTACCGTTTGTCATTTTTTCTTTTCTTTTCTTTTGTCATCCTTCATTGTCCATAGATCTGAAAAAGGCATTGAAATGGGAGAAGTTAGCATTTCGTATGGTAATATGGATTGCGTGTTTCCCATTTTTATTAATTTATTTCGTTGTTGTTGTTGTTGCTGCGGCTGTTTTAATATTTTAATACTCTTCCAGTGATGATGAACCCTTACCTGCACTGTGTACAAACCAGGAGGAATGCCAGCCAGGGACCAGTTACTCTGTGTGTACAAACCAGGAGGAATGCCAAACAGGCCCCCCAGTTACTCTGTGTGTACAAAGAGAAAAAAGAAAACATGCAACAAAGGCAGAAACGCGGCGGTGGAGATATCAGCACCGTGTTGTCAAAGATGCTAAAACAAAAACCGCAAGAAGGACAATGAGCTGTCATTGAAGGTATAAAAACTTTGTCATGATTTTTTAAGGTCCGTGTACATATATACAGGGTTACTACTTAATATGGAATATTATTTTTTGGCGGGTTAATTTTCTACAAAATAATCATTTTCTCTCTAACTACTTTAAATCCAAAACTGAGGTATCACTCCATGTGTAGCCAGGTGTGTAACCTAATTACCACGCAGCTCTCGAAACAAATGATGCATGCAGTTGCATGTTCTGTGGTCAGAAATGTGAGGGGTGGTCTTTTTGGCAATTTCTGCCCTTGTATAAAAGCGCATGGGTTTGGTCTATCTTTGGAGTGTATTTAGAGAAGCAACAAAGGGATCGCTCTGAAACTTGACAGGTAGGGCCTACATTAGAGAAGATATGGTTCGACAGCTAAGCAACGCAGCTTACTATGGGATTCTTGCTCCAAGAGAAAATGGCCAGAAACGGATAGCCATTGCCAGGCAATGCAGTATTTATCAGGAACCGTCCTCCAAAGAAATGCTACATCAGGGGCACCTACTCCAATACCTCAACCAGGGTATCCGCGTATCACACCAAGAGGACAGGATCGCCTTCTCCTTAGAGTGTGAGTGTTGGTCGTACAAATACAATCAGTGTCCTCAGAAGAGAGTGGCAGAATGTCATTTAAACGCTCGTTTCAAGGTCCCTCGTGAGCAAGAGATTACTTCAAGACGGTTATTTTGCATGAAGACCAGTACGAAAACCACTCCCAGCAGGCATAGTTGCGTTGGATCAACGTTGAAAACAGGTTGATACGTTGAATTGCCGTTGATCTACCTAAATTCAACGTAAAATCAATGTTGATCAAGCTACGTCAAAACAACGTCATAATGTGACGTTGACTCAACGTTGTATTTTGGTCATTGACACAACCTTGCAGACATGGATTGTAATTTAAAATATTAATTATTGAAAACGTGATACTTTGTTTATCAATACTGTAACTAAATTTATCAAAATATAAAAAAAGTGTTTTAAAGTAAAAGTGACAGTTGTTTTGTGTCTTTAGTGAACTAGTGAATTTACTTAACTTGTTATTCAGAAATACATTCCAATAAACTGAATTCCTTACAAGGTCAGCTAACACTAGGATGAACAAGTTGCTGTAAATGTGATGGAGTTAAGTTAATAAAGTTGACAGTTCTCGGTACCCTGTTATAAATGGACAGGTTGAGGTGACTGTGACTTTGTTATATATATATATATATATATATATATATATATATATATATATATATATATATATAAAACCCTTTATGAATTTATACACATCTATAAATATGCTACTGTGCTAAGCTTAATACATTGCTTAGCCCCTTCCTACCACAACCCCCGTTGGCACACCCCGAACCCAACCCACCTCCCTAAAATGTTTTCGCTGTTCGACTTACCGCTATTAATATGCATCTTTGATTGTATGCACAACATTGGAGTTTTATCTAAGCTATCATATTTTATTGTTTTAAAACAAGCTACAAGAAATGCCGAAAATAATTCAATACATATAATTTCACAGAAAAAATTAAGAAAGATGGAGAAGAGGAAAACAAAAAAACCAGTATTAAAGAATCTTTGTCTCTTTAACCGTGTAGAACAACTGTACTTTCGATGCCAACTTACAACTGAAGCCAATTACAAACTACCGATACCGGTCAATTAACCAATGTCTTTTACATAAAAAAATCAACATTTGGTATTTAAATTTTATAATGTTTGACCTTGGAGTTTGGACCCATCAAAATATAGACACAGCCGTTAACATACTTAACTTAGCCGTTAACTGGGCACATCCACGTTAATATAAAGCCACTTACATATGTTTAAAGGCAAGTTTATGTTTAAAGCCAAAGCACTGATGTACGGCAATTATGGCGCGGTTTCCATGGACAATATAGACAAATCTACGGTGAAATCCGACCATGCACTTCGTGGATATGCAGTATATCCGTACAACCCAGGAAACACAGAACGTTTTTATAATATTATCATAACGTTTATATACCCCCCCCCCCCCCCCCCCAAAAAAAAAAAAAAAAAAAAAAAGTTCTGTGTTTGCTTGGAAATCACTAGTCGCGCCTCATCAACCAGTTGAAATGCCGACGCCTGAGGACCCTGGGTGTCCAATATCTTCTCCAGATTGCCTTAGATCAAGGTTCGGGTTGACATGGACGTGCGGCCACCCTGTCAGCCTCTTGACCCACGGCCACTATAGCCGGAAGAACCTCGGTGGCAAACAGATACTGGCGCTCTCTATCGAATGTTTCCACGGTGGTGGGCGTGTCCAGGTTGATGAATTGTCTGGAAGACGCTGTATATTGCGGCCACTGGACGCTGACTGTGTCACCAACATTTGGGTCACTGAAAAGATGAGAGTGCTGACTGGTTAGCAAAATAATGAAATACGATACTGAGCATACACAATCGTACATTCTGACTTCGTAGTCAAGTCATTTAGTAGAGGGATATTTTTATACTAATCAAATTACAGTTGATGGTCATTGGCACAATTAAAACTTAATTGGCATCAAGTACTTTGTATTTCCATTTAACAATATCATTAAGATTTCAATTGCAGTAAATATTCCGATATGTTACCTGACCCTTACCCATTTTTTACAAAGTTAGCTATATACCGCCTGATGGTTCTTCCAAGTTCCAATTCCTCAGCTGTCAAATTATATACATCCGGGTGCTGTTCAAAAACACCAAAATACAGAATGCGGGTATCAAATTGTTCAGCTTGTACAAAATCAGCCTTAGGTAAGTAAGAAGATGGATAGCCAAGTCGGACAGATAATGTGTATTTATACGTTGTGGCACCTGCCGCTGCGTTCAACCTCGCCGACTCCTCTGCTGGCATGCCGAAGAAAATGTCAGTGTTTTGCTGCACTTTCTGAGTCAAAATATCCAAAGGATCCATGGGGTCTTGGATAAGGCCGTATTCGTGAAACAAGGACCTAGCAACAGCCCTTCCCGCGCTTTTCACCTTGAACTGATAGAGCATTGATGCAAAAGTTTCGAGATTCAAGCGTTGCTGGGACACAGTAGGGGGATCCCCTATTAAAGAATATGTCAAGAAGCTGCCGTCATGGGAGGAACTACCTACCATATATCGAAGCCCGGATGTCACGTTTTCTCCCAGTAGCTCTCGTGGGTGTCTTGGTACCAAAACTCCATCAATACTTGGTCGCCAGTCGAGTCCTCCAGGCAACCCTTCCTTCCTTATCTCCGCCAATTCCTGAGCGTCCTTATTGCGTAAACAGCGGAGTCTTTCACTTGGTTCAGGCATATCACATCCGGCCAGTTTTGAAAACTCCAAACTGACGTTCAAAGATTCGGCCAGATACCCAGGCGTTAAGCTCGACCCACTCATTGATATCCCTCCCTGTATCAAACCACGATTTAGAGGAGAGATCATCTGATAGTCCACCAAAGCTCCTCCTGCTGCATCACCAATAAGAGTAATGCGATCAGGGTCTCCGCCAAACGCCTCAGCATTCTCCCGAACCCATTTAATAGCCCAGTGTTGGTCATACAGGCCGTAATTTCCTCTAGCCTCGTCAGTCCCCGTGCTGAAGAACCCCAGAAAGCCCAGTCTGTAGTTAAAAGTGACGAGGACGACATCAGACTCCAGGGCAAGGATATCTCCATTAAAAGTCGCACCTGTTCCTGCCACGAACGTGCCGGCATGAAAATGGACAAGAATTGCCAGACGAACGCCCTTTTCACGTAGAAGGTCAACACCACGTGGCACGAACACGTTCAAAAACAGACAATCTTCGGCCCGTGTGAGGTTGGTGATTGTTCGACCTAGGTTGATGTAGAGGTTAATAGAGCTGTTTTGCTGCAGGCAGTGAGGACCGAATTGTTTCACTTGTCGAATGCTTTCTCCCCATCCAGGATGACGCTCGGGATTGGCAAATCGAAGAGTCCCAACTGGGGGTTTTGCGTATGGTATCCCAAGGAAGCGATCAACTATACCTGTGCCTATAGAAGAAAATTTCAGAAAATCATTATATGAATGCTAATTGCACTAGAGATGATTTGAGCATTTTGAAAGACCGTCACATCCTTCTCAACCGTGGCTCTCCTGTACACAATTCACTCCATCTCGAGCGTGACTAAGTGAATGCGCGCACGTGGGAACAAACAAACAAATGCACACACACACACACACACACACACACACACACACATTTTCATAGCACTAGTTAGCAGATTGATAGCTGTCGTGTACCATAAAATCTCCCCGCAGGAAGTCAAAAGTGTTGTTTTATTCCACTGCAAAAAGCGTCTATCAATCACAAGAAAGAAAGTAGTATACTCCCCTACCAAAAAAAAGTGTCATCCCTAAAGCAATGCGTAAAGTGATGAAGAAAATCATGTCATCAACGACTGTTCTTAACTCAAGTTCTGTAATGAATTTTCTGATTGTACCACCCATAAATAAGCTAAACATATAAAAAATAAAGCCATATTTTAGTGTTTTGTATAGTGAGAAAGTAAGGATCTGTGTTAAGCTTCCCATTGACCACTGCCAGCTCGCCTACACTATAACAGCCAATACACCCCACGTGTCCTGTCAACGGTTCTTTGTGGGGATCTCCTTACAAAATGACGGCGACTGTGCAGACGTCTCTTGACGGTTGCTCAGAAACTTGACATGCCCTCTTCTTGTTAAATGTTGCAGACAATCTCTGAAAAATCATGGAACGTTTTCTAAGAGGAAGGCACATTACCATTTCCTTCTTCTCTATGGGTGTAGTTTATTTTGGTCAGCCTTACCCAGCCAATTTTGCCCATACGCCTGTTTGTTAATGATGCTGACTATCCCTCTGAATGGTTCTCATGGAGCCACCCAGCCTTCGGGCAATTCAGCTGGCCAATAGTCCAATCTATGTTAATCTCTTGGTAAAAAAAGTTTCCCTCTCACTTAGGATCTGCATATTAAATATAATTGGTTTTAGGGTATTGCAATGGTTACGCCAGGTAGATTAGTCCACTACCCGCAAGAAAACGCAGTAGATACACCAGCGCAGTAGACTACTGCAATCATACTGCAAACCGCAGTAGACTACTTCAATCATACTGCAAACATGCTTCAAATCTGCTTCGATGTGGGAGCTAATTAGCATATTTGAAACATGCTTCTATCATGCTGCTAATCTACTGCATTAATGCTCCTCTCTGTACAAACCTATGTACTTTTTGGAATAGAATTGCATTNCTACTGCATTAATGCTCCTCTCTGTACAAACCTATGTACTTTTTGGAATAGAATTGCATTAGGCTATGCGGCATTTCTACTGCAAATATGCTCCACACCACTACTGCGTTAATGCTTTTTTGCTACTTCGATACTACTGCATTTTCGTGCGGGTAATCACATCAACAATTTACACGATGTTCGGTTGATACTTGTTGTGTAATATTAAAATGAAAACCACAGGAACCCTCATTGCAATGCAAATAATTGCGGTAGGTGATACTTTTTTGGTATTTGAGTATATGTATATTACCTGGGTAGTATACACATGTGTATATACATTAATTCTTTATAAGAAACTGACCAGCAGTTAATTCAGAGATTGAATATGTAATAATAATAATCATAATACATTTATTTTAAGTCTATAAACTCCATATTAATATGTTCGTTAGACTTGACAAATATTTACATACATATAACAAGTATACAACTGGTCAAAACACGCTGTGTACACAATCTCGCCTCCCTGGGGAGGATACAGCCCCGCTGCCGTGTGAGGCGCTGAGTGCTATCAAACTTACAATATCGTTCTCTGCGTGACCAGGACCCTGCTTCAACCCAAAAGTGCTGAGTGCCAAGCGAAAAGACAGCAGATACCGTTTATGAAGGACTGGTATGTCCCCGGACGGGGTTGAACCCACGTCCTCCCGCTCCGGAGGCGGACACTCTAACCGGTCGGATGTAGTGTAAAACACGGGAATTTTATTATCTTGAAATATTTCGGTGCCATTTTCACACACGCATATATATATACAACGTATTCTTCGCCGGTGATATTATTTGCCGTAAATATTAACGCCGCTTTATAATTCCACTCTCTGATGAATCATCCAATATTGTTAGAAGGTAATATTAGAGATAAAATAATAATCAGCTTTAGTGAAAATATTCGGCCGTGGTGTTGGATTAAGCCTGAAAACCTTTCCCTATGGTAACACAGAAACATTGGCCAGCGAACCAATTCTCGGCATCTTTTATACAATCATATTTTTGGCTCTCCCCAAGAGTAGGAGTTGTGGTGGGCTTGTAATTTCAAGCAGCTCCAGCCTTTTAAAGGGACAAGAAGAAGGGGGATCCATTTTTCTTTTATTCAGAAGCTATAATAATATAGGGTGCCCCACCAAAAATATCCTCACTCTTTGACTGTCCATCACTTTTTCACCTCCGTTTGTTTTGTTGTTTTCACCTTCGCTTTTTTGTTTGTTCGTTCATCACCATCCGAACTCAAAAGGTTATAGATGGGTCTTGATGAAATGCCCAATAAAGGTCATTAATATGCTCACATAAGTGATTATGTATGATGATCAACTGTATCACCTTACACCCCATTTATATCTTTATAGCGTGTCTTGGCACAGGGTTCGTTTGAGTATATTTTATGTCTTTCTTGTCACACATGCGTCATTAGCTGCGCCCATCTAGCTTCTCATGAATATCTAATATTTAAAGTAAAGGCTGGTTTCAAATGATTAATTTTAAGATATTCCATTTTTTTCTTCCCCCCCCCCCCCCCGCCCCCACTGCAATCAGACTATTAGCACCAAGCATATAAGGTACTGTTTTAAAATTTGAAAGGAAGCGAAGAATTCTTGCAAACTTGGCTCAATTTTCCTGCAAACATTTTGATTTTTCTCAGGGGGCTAATATTTTTTCTTCCGACGTTGTAGTATCCATAAACGGTGGAGTTCATTAGTTTACATACTTATATGTCGAGCCCCTGAGGAACAACGACAGTGTACGATCTCCGTCAATTAAAAAGAACTGCTTCGCAATTGAATGTCATTAGACCAAAATGAAACGTAAAACAGATTTAATTATGCTTCATTTAATTTTATTTACTGTATTTTAGATGTAAAGTGAAAAATAATTAATATGTTTCTAAAAGAAAAAGGTATATTCAATGTTTTTTTGTATTTTTTGCTTATCAAAGAACATTTGCTTCTGAATATATAAACAAAATACACGTGCCTGCCGTGTGCCAAGTTTGCCAGCTACACTGTATGCCCGATACCACTATAAGGGCTGCGCAATGGCTACACCAGAATCAGTTTTTAAAGCAGAGTGTTGCATGTGTTGTGGTACTGATCTTCGACTGTAAGATATTCTTAGTTCAATTTTCTAAGTCCGCGTCAGTCACTTTGCTTCTTGTCTCGTCTGCACGAGATAACGTCAGGACAAGGCAAGAAAGGCAGTTCCAGGCGGTCAAAGCTGTGACGTACGAGACTTGTGACTTCAAAATGCCGGTTGAAATATGACAACTGAGGACACTGCCCTAGATTGCCCTACAGCATGGTAGGGATTGACGAGGACGTGCGGCAGCCATGTCAGCCTCTTTACCCAGTGTAACCATGGCCGGAAGTACCTCGGTAACAAACAGATACTGGCGCTCCCTATCGAATGTTTCCACCTTCTCTGAGTGTAGTTTCTTCTGGTCAGCCTTACCCAGGCAATTTTGCCCATACGCCTGTTTGTTAATGATGCTGACTATCCCTCTGAATGGTTCTCATGGAACAACCCAGCCTTCGGGCAATTCAGCTGGCCAATAGTCGAATCTGTGTCAATCTCTTGGTAAAAAAAAAAGTTTCCCTCTCACTTAGGATCTGCATATTAAAAATAATTGGTTTTGGGGTATTTCAATGGTTACGCTAGGTAGATTAGTCCACTAATCAACAATTTACACGATGTTCGGTTGATACTTGTTGTGTAATATTAAAATTAAAACCATAGGAACCCCCATTGCAATGCAAATAATTGCGGTAGGTGATACGTTTTTAGTATTTGAGTACATGTATATTACCTGGGTAGTATACACGTTTATACATTAATTCTTTATAAGAAAACGACCAGCAGTTAATTCAGAGATTGAATATGAAGTGTAAAATACAGGAAATATTTAGGTGAATTTTTCACACACACGCGCGCGCGCACACACACACACACACACACACACACACACACATACAGACACACATTTATAAAAAAACACTGATAATTAACAGTGTAAAGGGTGAAATAGTTTGGCATATATATATATATATATATATATATATATATATATATATATATATATATATATATATACGCGCATTCATATTATCTCGAGATAGTTTGGAGCCATTTTCACACACGCGTGCACACGCACACACACACACACATTTATAAAAAAACATTGATAATTTACAATGTTAAGGGTGAAATAGTTTGGCATATATATATATACAGCATTCATTTTTTTAATTGCCTTAGAGCTATTTGATTGCTCGTGTCTGATGCCAGAGTGTTAAACGTGCCAAACATAAAACCATAAAACCTATCATATAACTACAGCTGTGTTCCAATTGGATAAAACATGGTATTTAGAGGGAACAGGACATTTTGTACAAACAGGTTAAACTTTTTTAGAGTTAACTTTTTCATTCTCTTTCAGTTAAACGACGGATGGTCTATATTACTCGGAGAATAACTATTACTATGTGCGGGAAAAGATAAGTTCTTTTAGGCTAGCTACCCCTTTTCTCCCTCTCTTTGTCTCCCTTTCCTTCAAATGCCCACTTGTTAGTTGTTTTTCTTGCATGGGCCCACACAAGAAGCATATATGTGCCCTCATCATTTTTTCTCAGTCTACGATCTTTTAGGAGAAACCCATCCACAGTACGACATAAAAGTTAACTAACGGTGGCAATTGTCAACTTACTGGGACCGGTATCCACCTTTGCTCTATCTCCAACAATCTGCCCCAGGTTTGTCAAGACCACAGGAGTATCTGTGCACAAAACCACTTGTATCTGTACCAAAATATAGAAAGAAGCCGCAAAGAGAACTTTGTTACTCGCCATCCTTGCTGTCTCAGATTTTAATAGTCAGCCGCTTTACTTCTTGTCTCTTATATCGTCAGCGCAAGGCGAGAAATGCAGCTCCAGGCGGTCAAAGTGAGACTTGTGTCTTCCAAATATGGAAGCGCCTTAGGCAAAAATTTGCCAAAGACGCGGACAATCTGGTACGTGCGGATCATGCCGTAATACTGCCGGAATAAAGTGAACCTTTAAAGAATTTTTGATGATGTATTCGTCGCCGGTTATATTATTTGCCGTAAATATAAACGCCGCTTTATAATTCCACTCTCTGATGAATTATCCAATATTGTTAGAAGGTAATATTAGAGATAAAATAATAATCAGCTTTAGTGAAAATATTCGGCCGTGGTGTTGGATTAAGCCTGAAAACCTTTCCCTATGGTAACACAGAAACATTGGCCAGCGAACCAATTCTCGGCATCTTTTATACAATCATATTTTCGGCTATCCCCAAGAGAAGGAGTTATGGTGGGCTTGTAAATTCAAGCAGCTCCAGCCTTTCAAAAGGACAAGAAGAAGGGGGATACAGTTTATTTTATTCAGAAGCTATTATAATATAGGGTGCCCCACCAAAAATATCCTCACTCTTTGACTGGCCATCAATTTTTCACCTCCGTTTGTTATGTTTTCGCCTTCGCTTGTTTGTTCGTTCGTTCATCACCATCCGAACTCAAAACGTTATAGATGTGTCTTGATGAAATGCCCGATAAAGGTCATAAATATGCTCACATAAGTGATTATGTATGATGATCAACTGTATCACCTTACACCCCATTTATAGCTTTATAGCGTGTCTTGGCACAGGGTTCGTTTGAGTATATTTTATGTCTTTCCTGTCACTCATGCGTCATTAGCTGCACCCATCTAGCTTCTCATGAATATCTAATATTTAAAGTAAAGGCTGGTTTCACATGATTAATTTAAAAATATCCTTTTTTTCTCTCCCCCCCCCCCCCCCCTGTAATCAGATAATTACATGTAGCACCAATCATATAACGTACTGTTATTTGAAAGGAAGCGAAGAATTCTTGCAAAATTGGCTCAATTTTGCCGCAAACATTTTAATTTTTCTCAGGGGACTAATATATTTTCTTCCAAGCGCAGTAGTATCTCTAAACGGTGGAGTTCATTAGTTTACATACTTATCTGTCGAGACCCTGAGAAACAACGACAGTGTACGATCTCCGTCAATTAAAAAGAACTGCTTCGCAGTTGAATGTCATTAGACCAAAATGAAACGTAAAACAGATTTAATTATGCTTCATTTAATTTTATTTACTGTATTTTAGATGTTAAGTGAAAATAATTAATATGTTTCTAAAAGAAAAAGGTATATTCAATGTTTTTTTTTTGTATTTTTTGCTTATCAAAGAACATTTGCTCCTGAATATATAAACAAAATACACGTGCCTGCCGTGTGCCAAGTTTGCCAGCTACACTGTATGCCCGATACCACTATAAGGGCTGCGCAATGGCTACACCAAAATCAGTTTTTAAAGCAGAGTGTTACTTGTGTTGTGGTACTAACCTTCGACTGTAAGATATTCTTAGTTCAATTTTCTAACTCCGCGTCAGTCACTTTGCTTCTTGTCTCGTCTGCACGAGATAACGTCAGGACAAGGCGAGAAAGGCAGTTCCAGGCGGTCAAAACTGTGACGTACGAGACTTATGATTTCCAAATATGGAGCTGCAGGGGTACACGGCTGTGACGTACGAGACTTGTGACTTCCAAATGCCGGTTGAAATTCTGACAACTGAGGACACTGGGTGTCCAATATGTTCTACTAAACTGCCCTAGAGCATGGTTGGGATTGACGAGGACGTGCGGCAACCATGTCAGCCTCTTTACCCAGTGTAACCATGGCCGGAAGTACCTCGGTCGCAAACAGATTCTGGCGCTCCCTATCGAATGTTTCCACTTTCTCTGAGTGTAGTTTCTTCTGGTCAGCCTTACCTAGGCAATTTTGCCCATACGCCTGTTTGTTAATGATGCTGACTATCCCTCTGAATGGTTCTCATGGAACAACCCAGCCTTCGGGCAATTCAGCTGGCCAATAGTCGAATCTGTGTCAATCTCTTGGTAAAAAAAAAAGTTTCCCTCTCGCTTAGGATCTGCATATTAAAAATAATTGGTTTTGGGGTATTTCAATGGTTACGCTAGGTAGATTAGTCCACTAATCAACAATTTACACGATGTTCGGTTGATACTTGTTGTGTAATATTAAAATTAAAACCATAGGATCCCTCATTGCAATGCAAATGATTGCAGTAGGTGATACTTTTTTGGTATTTGAGTATATGTAAATTACCTGGGTAGTATACACATGTGTATATACATTAATTCTTTATAAGAAACCGACCAGCAGTTAATTCAGAGATTGAATATGTAGTGTAAAATACGGGAAATATTTCGTTGACATTTTTACACACGCGCGGACATATATATATATATATATATATATATATATATATATTTATATATATATATATATATATATATATAAACCTTGGAAATTTTAACTTAAAGGCCATACATATATACCCTACATATATAGCCATCAAACATGTCCTACTGCTAAACACATCCAGGCTAAAAGGGTGTACCATGCTTAAGTGCAAAACATGCTTAGGAGCTAAATGCGTTGAAAAAATCAGACAAAGCAGGCACTTGGATGTTTTTACAGTGTACGTTATAATTGTGTACCTGTGTTTTGTACCAAAAATAAAACATTTCAGGTCATTTTAATGTCTTTTCATGCAAGAATGTTGTCTAACAAATGGGGTTGATACAATGTTGCTATCTGACGTTGAGTCAACTTTCAAATTCAATGTTTATCCAACGTTTTATCATGGTCTGGGGACCTCGAGCGTTTGCAGCCAAATCACTGAAATCACGTCGTTTTCGGTGATGAGGCCAGATATAGAGTTTTTAGGGTTGACGGTCGAATCCGTGTCCGCCGACGTGTACGTGAGGCATAAAACGATGATTGTGTACTGCCTAGGGTGAAAGAAGGGGTTGTATAACGTCTCTGTTTGGGGAGCATTTCATGCCCTTGCCCAGAACCAGTTGGTTTTTTTAGGAGGCAACCTCAACCAGTGTTCCTGCAGAGACATTCTACAGCAAACAATGCTTCGATTTGAAAGAGTCATCTTCAGGAACAACTTTGTGTACCAAGACGACTGCACAACCCCACATCGAGCTCGCAGAATCACTGTTTTTCTTCGAAACCAATGGGTTCAGCAACTGCCCTGGCCTGCAAACTCCCCAGATATAATCCCAATTAAAAATATGTGAGCGGAAGTAACTCACAGAATTAATAGCTATGGACATCGACCGGTAAATAGTGATGAACTGCGACAGGCAAATATCACTTCGTGGAATGATATCCCCATCCAAACTCTATGAAACTTGTCACAGGGTATGCCATGTAGGATGAGGGCGCTGCAAGCGGCTGCTTGAGGTCATACCCGCTATTGATGACTTTTCATGATTTACTGTAATGAGTTCTTTGACTGTGTAACATATCACTGTCCGGAGGCTATCATTTTCCTCTAATATCTTAGCTTAAAATTAATACTGACATCAAACTGTTGATATGATTTTCTGGGGGTGTTCTTTTCTTTTGAATGACATCTTATGTCAGATTTGATATTATTGACCAAAATATCTCACAACAGATGATATTTTTATCTCTCAATGACATACTTTTTTGATGAATGAAGCAAAAAAAATTTTAACCAGCACTCAAAAATAACAATGATAAAAGAATATTCCATATTAAGTAGTAACCCTGTATATTATTGGAGCAAATCGTCCGGGGGAGGGAGCTGGGTGTCTGAAAGGAATTGTCCGGGAGGGGTGTGTGACCGGGGTTAATTGTCCTAGAATCCTCTCAAAAGTATCTGTAGCATGTGATCCTAGATGAAGCAAGATCACAAAAAAAAGCAGTCGTCAAAGCATGCACAGTCACAGACAACTCCACCCCCACCCTTACAGCTGCCTACGCTTATATCACACAGTGTCGGATTTGGAGGGGGGTCATAGGGGTCCTGCCCCCCCCCCTTCCATTTCTGATCCCCTCTTGCTGAATCATGGTTCTAAACCGTACCAAATGGCACCGTTCGCCCTCTAAAATACCAAAAATTTTCAGGGGCCCTTCAACGGGCCCCGAACCCCACGGCAAGTGTGAGTATGTGTGTGTGGGGGGGGGGGGGTCGTCTTCGCATCCGCACACCCCCCCCCCTTCAAATAATCCTGGATCCGCCACTGTCACACCACTTAGTTCAACAGCCCTGCAGACCAGTCTGCATCCAGTATGTCCAGTATTATTATATACATCCAGTATCTCTCAGGTATACGCGTCTATCCATCAAGATGACCATAGAACAGGTACAAACGGCGACAACTTATCTAGCAAAAAAACTCCCTCATCACAGACAGTTCCACTTTTATTGTTGGTAGGTAAGACCAGAGTTGAATCACAGCCAAAAACAGATCCGTTCACTTTTTCACCTAACGCATTTTCTCACAAACATTCATTAATAGGGGAGACATTCAAAAACTGATACATTTCCTTTTTCACCTATCACATTCACTAATGTTAATTGAAAATATGGGAAATACATCCAAAAACACATCTGTTCTCTTTCACACCTAACGCATTCACGAATGCTCGTTGTGCAATAGGAAACCCTCCCAAAAACAGATCCATTCCCTTTCACACCTAATGCATTTACAAATGTTCCATTATGCGATAGGGGAAACATGATGTTTGGTCAACTCCAAATGCATACATTCTCTGTCACACTTCTTTCTGTATTCTGTACGCGTTTTTAAAATGCCCAAAAGAAATATTTCTATTTTTAAATATCTTGCAAAGTTACTAACAATGTGGAATTTCATATAATTCCATGCTGCCAATAAACTCCCGAAATTTATTGCTTTAACATGAAAATCTTTCAATGGCAAACATAGAAGCACCTGAGTCTGGTGTCGGTAATTTCTTCGCAAAATTCATAAAAACAGGTTGAACTTTAATATTTCCAAAGTAATTAGTTCAGATTGCCTTTTTGCTTTTTCAACTAAAATGCCAGTGCGCCGCAAAGACGGTTTAGAGTTTGTGTGTGTGCGTGTGTGTGTGTTTGTGTGTGTGTGGGGGGGGTTGTGTTTGAGAGAGAGAGAGAGAGAGAGAGAGAAGAGAGAAAGAGCACGCAATCAAAATTATTTTAACGCATTTTGCGCCAATATGTGTCACCTTCACTCTATACAGTGCGTATTTCAGTATAATTCCAAGAGACGCATGCGTGAATACATTGCCCCAGCATCTCTGAAGCCGTAGAACTCATTCATCCACCAACCCTCTCTATCGATTTTACATAGCGCAAAGCCAAACGTAAACAGAAAGAGGCCGTCAGGAGGAGAGAGACGATTGCTCGAAGCCGCTGAAGCCATTGATCGATAGCTGAAACCTTTATGTCATATGAACAACGGCTTGGTAACTGTGATCAGTAACTCTGTGGCAAGGCGGTTCAGGTGCTTCATGTTTCGTGGTTGACGTGAGTGTTTATGTGCCAGGTAGCTCCAAATAATTGGTAAGTTGCATTATGTGGAATATCTCCTACTATTCAGAGGATTTTCATTCTGTTCATATCGTTATTTCCAGTCCTGTGACTGTTTGGTGATACATATTGCATTTCTTGTATATATAAATAAATACGTAGGAGTCGTGAAATAACAGTGAAAGTTAAGTTTGCTATTTTCAATTTTGCGATATTCAAAGACACTTGAGCCATGAAATTGACAAGTGCCACACTTGAATATATGCTTGGTACTTCCGAAACGGCCATAAACTCTGCACACAACCCGCATTTTGTATGGCAAATTTGACTCCGAGGTACCTTGGTCTATTCATGATGAAATTACAGTATTTGGGCATTTAATTCCCTCTGTTTTAGTTGCAATTACAAAGATATGCACCGGTATCCTGCGGTTACATTGACATTATCAACGCGTCCTTAGAGACAATATACTAACCCCTGGGGTCTGACGGACGCTTTGAAATTCATGTTTACAAGTGCGTGGTTTATTTCTTTCTTTGACCATCGATTTTTCTCAGTAGGCGCACATGTTAATATACGTGTATTCTGCAGTTGATGCTGAATCGAATGAACTAAAGGTGCACGTGCATCTCCTACGGTTACAGGCTTACAGACCCAGCATGTATCAGTATATATGTGTGTATATGAATATAAATAGAAGAAACGAGATCGCTCTCCGGCCGACATTATTATAGTGTTCAATATGAAGAATCTGTTGTTTTTGATTAAATTTTATAGAATGACTTGTGAACACAAGCGAGATTCCTTTGCGATCAAGAGAATGAGTGGACTTCTCATGGGAAAAGAGCTATCCAGAGTGCACCTCCAATTTCCTGGATTTGGCTAATCTCTGCCAGTTAAAGAAAAATCGGGTATAATCCAACAAGGGAAATCGGGATCCTTGTGTCCATTACACAAAATATGATAAGGACTCTCTTGTTGCGTTCAGTGACATTGGTGTTTCTGTTTCACAAAAAGAAAATAAGAAACGCCGCGTGCTGACTTCTTTTGTGACTTCTTGATTTCTTAAGTCGTTTGGGCGCGGAAGCGGAATAAAAAATCGATCAATACTAAGAAAAATCGATGACACTGCACAGACCATTCATCTTTTGTTCGGATTCCCCTAGTATTACCGATTTAATTCCTACCGATATATCAATCTTTTTGGCCTTTCTTTCTAACTCTTAGTGAATTGGACGAGGGGAATTTCCAATACGATTGCCCAATGCCAAGTCAGAAAACGTTTACTGCTGCATGTGTATACTGACAGATTAGAAATAGTTTTTGTAAAAGCTAGATAATTAGCATACTGCAGCCGCTAAATATGGAGTTGCACTGCTCGTTTAGTCACAGAACTTAACGTTTCTGAGTTGTACCGTTGTAACGTAACTGAGGCTCCGTGTAACAGAGAGTCCGATGGAAAGCGGACTTTCTGTTATAGAGATCTCTCTGTCCCGTTACACCTGTACGTCTGCTAAAATGGAATCTGCGCTGCCAAGTAATCGTTTGCAGTGGCAGAAATCGAGGAATTTTCTTCGGTTAACTTTTCTGTCTCACGATTAATTGGCGTAACAGGAGGGTCTGTTTATACTGGTTTATTCACCACATTGCTGATTAAGATGGTAGGAATTTCCCAATATACAAGGGATAACTGCACAAGCAGTCTGTAATATCTTTAACCTAATCTACGGGCTAATTTAGGGGACAACCACAAAAATCGACTTTCCATTAGACCCCATTGGATTTTCTTGAAGATCGAAGTAAGAGATTATGCGTTATTAGATGCATTACAGCAAGCATTTTTCTCTAGACCGATTTCTCCCAGTTCACCGTATTATGTGCTTTATGTAGTTTTGCATATTTTTCGAAGAGATATTGGCTCCATTCAGAATGGATGGTCCGAGTTCTTACTAGTCCGCTGACTAAATATGGCCGACCACAGTTCAAAAGCGATGCCGCTGATTCCTGATGGTCTCCCCGCCTCCACACGCGCCGTCGCTGGAAGGTACTAGGAATTAAACCTCGGTGCAGAGATTTAATCCGTTTAAAGGCGCGTGGAATCAGGGAGGCCATCATGAATCAACGGTATCGCTTTTGAACTGTGGTCGGCCATGTCAGTAAATACTCAGATCACCCATTCTGAATGGGTCCATTGTAGACCATGAAGTACTAGGACAGTGCCTTACGACCCCCCCCCTCCCCCTTCTTCTCGCTTGCATTCCAACATGGCGTGTCCGTTGCCTTTGTTGGCAGCATCGCAATACGATGTCACCTTCAAGCTATTTTTGTCGACTTCGATTTCCTTTGGATTAAAGAGCGATTATCTCCATCATTTTGCCAAAATTGCTCGTTACTTCCATCAACATCTTCGGTGGTCTCCCGAGTAATGACATCCAGAACGGCATATATCATTGCTTTTTGATTGATTCTTTTATGGTAATAGGGTGTGAGGGCGTTTCCATTTTACTGGCATTTGTACATGAACTTCTAGTGTGTTAACACTTAAATCAGTCATATTTGACCTCTTTCGGTTTAGTCTAGATGTGCACTGCGTATGTTTTATATAATAACTATTGTCGTAATATCAATTAACTGTTACTTCTGCATTCACATTCATGAGCAAGGCAAAACAACATGCAATATTATCATTATCTGTACTGTTAACCATGCCAGTGCAGACGTATAGATTTCTATCTAGGTGACCGGCTTGTGACTCAGTTTAGCATCAAAGTATATATAGGTGAACGTTCAATTGTTACCAGATCCTGCAGTGTACGTGCAACATATTACTGCTAAGCCGGACCAAACTTGGTCCAAATATATGCTTGGCGTGAACTAAAACTGACCTCCGTATCTCTGCTTCTATTATATATATAAACGTAATATTGTGACAATTTTGACCATTTTTCAAATCAACATAAATCCTGGGTAATCATAGCATTGCGAACACTGAGAGCAGTTTTTTTTTTTTTTTTTTTTTTTTTTTTTTTTTTTTTTTTTTTGCCCAACCTGCTTCAAAATAGAACAAGACGCGTGAACGTTCTGAAGTAAAACAAACCCCAGTATTTCGATCAATAACCATGTTTATTGGATTACATTCTTTTAATAACATCAGCGATTCTGGTCAAATGTACAATACAAATATTTTTCACAGAGGTCATTGTTTTAGTCAAAGAAAGACGATGCTACAACAAACGTCAACCACTTAATCTGAATCCATGGTGTTTCCCTCTAACTTCTACTTAGTCATAACAGAATTACTCTAATTGAATTATGTGCAAAACAAAGGGAGGAAATCACAAAGAATAGCAACTTGTTCATCTCATTTATTCATATTTTGCCATGGGTTTGTTTGAATCACATTATCAATGTGAGAATTTTCCTGTCTGGCTTTATTTAGATATCATTTCGTTTAGCTCTTGATGGCGCCGTAATGGCTTGGAAAAAACGTGAATGAGTCAGGTAGATCGTAATACTTTGATTGATGTTCTTTGTACGACGATTAAAGGTTGATACACGTCTATGGTATGGCTAAAACTTTCCGGGGTTGACTTCAAGGCTTTTTTAAAATGATGTTTACATATAGGCTTACTGTAATATCTAAGCTTGTTGACATTAATTATACGTACAATATCAGGCAATATTTAAGCTTATTGGCTAAATCTCATAGGATATACTGTATCCGCTATATTTTATAGGTTATTTGTAATAGACTATAGTTGCTATAGTTAAATCTATGGCCTTGATCTAATAGGTTTTAACTGCTTTATCTGAACTGGAAGGCTATGGCTACTAAGCTGTAGCTGCTATATATCTAGACTTATGGAAGCTGCTTATGGTATTACCACTTTTTAAAATCCCTTGAGTACTTACCATCCTTTTTATTTATAGAATTCCAATTAACAAAACCCTGTTAATCGCTGTCATATATATTTCAAAAAGTCAAATCTCAGCCTAGTTAGACAACCATACCAACCTTTTTTAATTAAAATGAAGACAGGGCCGCGTGCAGGATTGTGTTAACAAAAGCCGTTTTTTGTACTAACTCAAAATTTTAGACGGCTTCAATGCATCTACAAGGGAACCAACAATGTTATTCCTGTCAAGCGCTGTATAAGTCTATAGGCGTTTTAAGATGGAACAACGCTAGCTGATATATTAAAGAGAGATATTCAAAGAGTCTTTAGTCCATTATCTCTGTGAGATTAATCCGAACCAACCACTAGCGTGCAGCAAATATTGCCTTCATGGAAGAAAAGCCTATCCGTTATATGCCTGCCAGTAAAAGAAAAAAATCACCGCGCACTGCCAGAGATTGGTATTACTGCTAAGAAAACGCTAGCCGTGCCAACTTAATTATGTCCTTCAGGGATAACCCTGAGTTTCAGAATCGACTGCAAACTGAGGTTATATTGTAGATAAGAAAGAACGAGTTCCACTGAGGCACCGACTCCCAGGGTAATAAGGGCGATTTGCATGTTACGTACTGACTTTTTGTACGCTATTTTGCATGATGAAATCACCTCTAAGTCAGTTCCGACTTTGAACAGAAAAACAAAACAAAACAAAAAAACAAGAATCAATAGAATTACCATGTACATGTAGACACTTAAGACACAATGGAATAGCTAAATATACCATTGTTTGCTTTTAAATAGATTCATGTATCAAAGAAAGAGTCAAAATATTTCTTTGTTTTAGTTTTCAGTCAAACTATATTCCGGGGTTTACATTAGTCCGCTGGGTAATTGTTTTTTCTTCTTCATTCCTTTCAAAAGCACAGGGATTACTGTAATAGACATCGTTATCTAACTTTGATTGGAAATTGACAAGGCAATATTGTCCTCGTCAATATTAGAAATGTGTCTCTCGGGTTACGTTGTTGACTGGGACGTTTAAAGTTCAGCAGACTGCTATGCTATGTGCGTGTAAAACTTTTATGTAAAAAAATCAATTATACAGATTTGGTTGCGCCTCTTCTACATAGTGAAGTT